GTCTGGTGAACCACTTTTGCTAAGATGTTTGTTATTAACGCTCGCGACAGTCAGCCAATTTCTCCCTTTTCTCTCCCTTTCTATAACTTACCTTCCCCTTTCCCTTTCCCCATGCAGTGCAGGGATGCCTACCGGGCTCAGCCCTGTTAAACCTCCCTGCCTTTCCCCTTATTCTCTCTCTCTCTCTTTACATATATAGATGCTTCAACGGTTTCGTGTGTGCGGCTGGAGTGCCTTTGAGGCCACACATGCAGCGAAAACACGAAGAACGTGTCAGGAGCCATGTTTTGTGGGACGACTATAGAACCACACGTCCCACAAAACCTCCCACAAAACATGGCTCCACACACTGAGAACGTCACACTGAGAACCCGGCCGTTCGTGTTTTGAAGGTGCATATAGTAATAGAGAAACAGAGAAACCACTTTGTGCTCGCCTTAGCCGCGGCGCGGCGCGCTTGTAGCTGCACCAAGCGGTTCATAAAAAAAAACGCACCACACCTTTTAAATTAGAACTAGAGACAGAAAAGAAAGAAAGAAAGAAAGAAAGGAAGAAAGAAAGAAAGAAAGAAAGAAAGAAAGAAAGAAAGAAAGAAAGAAAGAAAGAAAGAAAGAAAGAAGCGAAGAAAGAAACTGAAAACCAGGGCACGTTGTGAAAGACGCATAAGCTAACTCGGAACCAACAATGCAACGCGTTTGTTGAAAGGGTTACAGGAGAAGCACGGAAGCGTGTGCATCTCTGAGCATGCTCGGAGAAAAGTGATGAAGTCCCAATGTGTGCAGGGATCTGTCGCCACGGCTGTGCGCGCCTCTGTGTTAGGGAGAGAGCCGGCTAGACGGTTCGCGTGACCGAATTCGATGGCTGCGCTGCCAAAGCTAATCCAGGGTTTATCTTGGCACGCTTCGCGTGACGTTTAAATGCACTTTCTCTCGGCTCTTTGACAACGCGCACACGGCTTTCCGACGAGCTGAATGAGTTGTCTGTTCGCAGAGTTGGGTTGAAACGGACGCTCGGAGCTTTCGCGAAGGGTCGCGATATATAGGCGGACAATGACCTGCACAAGTTGCAGCTTGTACTATGTAGATAGAAGTTCGTTAAATTTGTCAGGAGCCTGGTTAATTAAGTGCGCGAGAATTTCGGAAGAATTAAGTCTCCTTGTACGGTTTAACATGTAGAGCCATGAACTGGATATAAGGTGTGTATGGGCTACGGAACAAAATATAAAAGGCTGAATCTCTTCGCAGCTTAATCTCTCAGCCTGCAGTGTTTAAACAAAATGCACACAGCCGCATACAGACTTACAATACGAAAAGCGTGGGTTCACGGCAAATTCTCAGCGGTGCGTTCTAGAAATGAATGTTTTTTTTATCTTTCTTTATTTTTAGGGATAGTCGGGTCGTTAGAGTATTGTTACTTACCAGTGCAAGTATGTTTCGTGCGCTCGAAATAAATAAAATATGGGTTTTAGCGTTTCTAAAATAACGCGTATAGGCTTCAGGAGATGTGCTATAGAAGGGGCAGGAGAATCATTTCTTGTACATAATAATCCAACTTTCACAGGCGATACTTATAGCGCGAGAACAAAACGACGACACGGAGACAAGAAGGACACGAAGGACACGACATTTTGTTGTCGCGCTATAACTATCGTCATGCCATAGCAACTAGCCCAAGCTGCCACACTTCTAAGTTACGTTTCGCAGACGGTAACTGAACACGGGACCGTAAGTGTGATCAGCTGAAACGGAACAGCCCGTAGTCATCAGCAGCCGCTATAGAGGCGAAATCGTTGCACAGTTTTAAGCCGCAAAAAACAAAGAAACAAAACAGTGTTTTTCTAAGTTACGCACCCATTAAAGACATCCCTCTTGTTGTCGCCCACCGCATCACGGAAGTCTTTCTCACTTTGAAACACGCCGCGGGTGTTTTCAATTACACGCCTGGACGTCTCTCATCTGTAATCGAGACTGCACCTCATTACGGCAGCTTCCAAATCGCGTACGCTGTAGTCGTTTAGGTGACGCGCACGCTTAATTCCACGCGTCGACCCCCTTTAGTCTGCACACAAAAAAGAAAAAAAGAAACACCGCTTTTGTTTCGGCGTTCAGACACTAAACGAACAACGCCATTCTCATTCCGCGATGCCCCGCAACTACGAAGAATCCATTTGTACGAATTTCATTTCCAAATGTGCACCGCCCGTACACTCGCCCTAACTATAGCGATTATTCATACGGAATAGGAAGAACAATAGCCCGGGCTATCACTCGCTTCCTTCCGGCCGCGAAAAAGGAAGGAACGACGAAGCATAATAAAGCTGCGCGGCCGCGGGGCGGCAATCAGACGCAGCTGTCGCTGCGCTTATACGTTATATATAGATCAGCCCGATATGCTGCAGCCTCAATAGAATTCTTCGAAGAGGGCCGCCCGCGGTGGCTCATGAATATTAACCGCAACGGAACTGATGGGGAGGAAACAACAGTTTCCGGCAAATGAATTGCGGGCCGCGGATAAAAAAAAACCCGCAGCGTCGATGATCAAACGACCCGTCGAACGCAAACGCCAGCGTCCGAATGATATATTGTTGCGCCTTCAGTTGACTCAGTCCGCGGATAACTTCCGCGCGTTTTGTGAACTATAAAGGAGCGCTGACGCAAAACATCGAAGGCGAGTTAATGAGTGAGAGAGGTTTATGATAGGAATTTAGAATCACTGGAAATTCGAAGACGGAAACAAAAACTTTAAACATTATTTCGTATAATCCAAGGGATATTCAAAATACCTAAAGACGAGTACATACGTCTTCCTGGAAAACGTAGCACTAGATTGAATCATGATGCCCCCATTGAACCTTTTAGCACTCGCACTGACATCTTTCGGTGGTCATTTTTCCCGGACGCTAAAGAACAATGGAATTCTTTACCCCAACATGATATTAATAGTAGCGATGTGCAAACTTTTGACAGAGAAATTGATGCTTATTTTGGTAATGGTTGAAGTACTGCCCATTCTGTTTTCCTGTTTTTATTGCTTAGTGGTGTTCTGTTTGTACTCATATTGTACTCCCTCCCTGTTATGACCCTCAAGCGAGGGTTGACAGTATTATTAAATAATAAATAATAATAATGTGGAGGTATACACATCTACAAAATATTGAGGACAAAGATAGCTGAAACATATGTTTTTTTTTTTAATATTACTTTTAAAGTGCGTGCCGCGAGACTGAGCGAGTACCTAGCGACGCCGACATCAGCGCTGTGTAAACAGGCTCACGTCACAAGTTCGTGTCGGCTGGTCAGTGCGGTTGGACTCTCCAGCACGGCGCCGACGTCACAGTTTTGCGAGCTCACGTAACCGACTGGTAAACAAAACAAAACTTCATTTGACTATGAGATTCAAATATACGGCCCAGGGTCCCCGCACTACCTCCACTGCGCTATGAGTTCATGAGTGCATGTACTTGCATGACGTGCATGGGCGGCCTGTGTTTGCCTATAGCCTCCAGCAATTCTGCATAGCATTGTTGTTCATTGAAACCAAAACTGTGTGTCTCAGTGCTCCATTAAACGGTAAAAAAAGCGAAAAAAAACGGATATAAAGAACAATAACAGGAGAATTCATCGGATAAAACGAACCAATTGTGTCAGCGCAAACGGAGTACGAACGATATACGTTGATAACCGTAATATCTGATGTAACAATGTTACGTTGCACGGAAGATTTACAGCAGTGATGTTCAAACGACTGCTCTCTAGTTACATTACCGATATGATTAAACAACTATAGCCCATCAGCGACAAGGTTTCGTATATTTTATATATGCAAACGAGTTGATAGGTGTCTTCTGAGGTGAGTAACACGTTTGATCGTCGAATGCGGCCATTCTACCAGCGAAATTTTAGTTCTCCATTTTTTTTATGTGAACCTTGTTGCTATTCCATTCCTACACTTTCCGGCCCCTTCACCGCGCTACAGTGGAAATTGGCCGGTGAAGAAAGCATTGCACACAAATGTCGTGAGACACAACAAAATTTCAAGTTAGTTGACATGGACTGGGGCATTTCTCTATTTTTTATATTCAATAAGTATTCTTTGCCGCCATTTTCAGTTGCAATATGTTTCAACGAAATAATTTCATTAACACGGGGAGGGAGTAAGTATCAAAGCGTATCCAATAATGTCGCGAACAAACTTTAGACAGCTTGCACAAGGCTGGAAGGCTGGACTAACAGCGTAGCTGGAGTCCAATCTAGTAAGTATACTCAATCGGGGCATAGATGCGATTAGCTTAATTAGTCCGTCATGACTTCACCAAGCATGGCTTCGTCCGGCAAAAGGTAACCGATCAGAGCCTAATTAACAGCAACACAATTTGCATTTGTCTCAGTCCAGCTTCGTATTCTGCACACATATACGACTTTTTGATGAGCGAGGGCCGGAATCGGCAGTTTAGGTTATAGGATTAAATGAGATAAGCTTAAATCATGCTGATTCGGATAAGATTAACCCGGCTTAACTCCCAAACCTGTCTAAGCAAAGTACACTTAAATTGATTCAGGTTAATCCGGATTGGCTTCGCAATTAGATTTCAATAATTGGTCTTATTTAGGATCAACTTGGCTAGGCTTGCTTAATTATGCTGAGCCGCGGTTAAATTGGCTCACTTAGGCTAAAGTAGGCTAAACTTGCCCATGCTGAATTTAAAGTAATTAAGCTCAACTTAATTAGACCTAACGTAATTGAAGTTCCCTCATTTGGAGTGATCATACCTATAGCCTATCATACTACACATGCAAAGCGCAGCTGTGACAGGTTGCTTGGCTACGCGAGATGCTATGTAAGATATGTTGTTCATGACGATAGCTTTTGCTTGCCCGAAACGGTCAAATCAAAAGATTCGCAGCACCGCTGAAAAACTCCCCACTTGACATGCGAATACATGCATCAGTCATTCAGTAACCAGAGCCGATAAAACAATGAGTTAAGCATGCGAGACTCACAGAGTATGTTGAGCTGCGCCCCTTGGGACGCCAACGAGAAGCCGGAAGTGACGTTGGTGGCGATGCACCGGAACTCGCCCATGTCGAGGCTGGGGTCGACGCGGGTGAGCCTCAGGTCGGAGCCCTGCTGGAAGCGTCGCGTCGTGTTGCGCACGGGCTCGCCGTCCAGCGTCCAGTGGAAGGCGACCCGGTCGGAGTTGGAGACGCCGCAGCGCAGCGTGGCGCTCTCCCCCTTGCGCACCCGCACGTCGGCCGGCTGCGGGCTGAAGTAGAAGCTGTCCTGGCCGAGGACACCGCCAAGGACACACCAGGACAGCACAGCCAGCAGCAGCGACATGCGCCAGGAGGCTGCGACGAACAGGAACATTCGAAATCAGTCTATGAACTAAGCACGGTCACAGTGTAAATGCGTGTCTACAGGATATGTCTGTGCTGTGTAACCAGACGTGTGTACCAGACTTGTGACCGTCACGTCAGCCACTGAGTTCACTGAGCCACTGAGACGACAAAAGAACGAGTTCTTGCCGTCAAACATACACACTCTTCCGAAAAAAACACGCTTCCTGTATTTACGTCTGCATCGTACCCTCCAATGAAGACGAGTACGAGTTAATCCGTTCGGTGAGTCCTGGTCTGGTACGTATATTACTCTTTCAAGAGACACGTCAACACTCTTTCGTGTCCCTTTCGAATGAGAGCGTAACGAGCTGCAAGCACAGTTCAAGTGCGATGCGAGCAATGATCACGTGCACCCTATGACGTAACGATGATGTCACAGATAACCAAAATTGGTGACATCAAATATGACGTCATCATGATGTTACTTAATTGACACGACGGAGTCATCTCGTGACCCTGTAGCCTAGCTGAGGTCTTCCGATCAAGCAGACAATGCTAACCCAGCTGATCTGCCTCCGATCTCGGAGGCCGTGGCAATACCACATCTAGTGCAGAAAGCTCTCGACGGGTGGCGCGGGAGCATCAACGCATGGACGGAGAAGTAAAAGATCGCGGCTTCCGCCTTCGGTGACCCCGTGAGTGTTTGCAATCTGACTTATTGCGTCAACAGGAATCGCGAAACTGCCCGTTCCTTCGTCCCCAGGTTCATGCATTCAAAATGCTTACAGAAGCCAGTGACATCACCCCCGTCCCCCATTCCCTTCTTCCACAATGCATGAATAGTGAGCGCAGGTGCGACCATACGCGCAATTTCATAACCCAGCTCTCCCTGTTTTGTATATCCAGAGTATCCACCACCAAACTTGAAAAAAAAAAACAAAAAAACCTCTTCACTCGGTGGATCCCACCGCATCACAAATAACAAAGCTAAAATGAACAGCGCAATCTTGACAGCCCTGAAGGATATACTTCGCCACATTAAAAGCACTACCAGTATACGTAGATATATATATATATATATATATATATATATATATATATATATATATATATATATATATATATATATATATATAACGGCCCTGTCGATCCCCGAATAACACGCGCATGCGCACGGCCCGCACTGCCGATCCATGCACGTGGTGCAAAGTATACACATTTCTCCGCCGAGTGTTTATAAAACTGTCCTCTTGAGCTCGCAAGCAGGCAGAAGCCCCGCAACGTAGGTCGTATAATATGCGTGCTACATAGACGCATTTTACGTGCGGCATCAACAGAGAGGTCTTGTTTACGCTACCAGGGGGCGCTGCATGCCCCTCTCCATACTTCAGCCTTCCTTCTCCCATCTTCGGCTCTTTCCTCCTAAGCAGAGCGACTCTCTCCCACGTGGCTTGATATCCAGCGGCGCCCATTAAAGGGTCGCGAAACGAGCCTGTCAGATGTAGCGAGCCCGACGGGGTGGCGCCCTTCCCTTTACAAATTTATATCGACCTCCAGGCTGCAGGGATTTATGGCCGCGTCATCCCCAACCCTTGGACGTCTATGTATAGACGTATATGTTCTTGCATACGCGAACGAAGAACATAAATAAACTGACACACTGCGCCGCCTGATATAGAGACAATGACTCGATCGGCAAAAGGGTTGGGGATACGAAATGTAATGCCAACTTCGTGAACTACAGATCTAGTAGAGCATGTGTTTTGGTGGTATATGAGGGGGAATAAAAAGGCGGGACCACCGAATGGATCGGCATAGACTGTTTTTTTGATAAGTAAACAAATAAACGGAGTGGCGACTGAAAGAGGGGTTTATGAAAGACCCTGATCTTCATGCTTGGTGGTTTAAACTGGCTAATCTGACGCGATCCATTCAACACCCTTACCGTTTCGGGTTAGACCACCTTTTTCACTCTAATAATAATTGTTGGGGTTTAAACGTCCCAAAATAACCACACAATTTGATTATGACAGGCGGTGTAGTGGAGGGCTGCGGAAATTTCGACCACCCAGGGTTAATTAACGTGCACCTAATGCACGTTAAAAGTGCGGCTGCCGCAGCCTGGGATTCAATCCCGCAACCTGCGGAACAGCAGTCGAGCACCTTGGCCACCAGGCAACCATGGCATGTTTTCACTTTCTCTCTCTCTCTCTGAACAGACAGACAGACAGACAGACAGACAGACAGACAGACAGACAGACAGATAGACAGATAGACAGATAGACAGATAGATAGATAGATAGATAGATAGATAGATAGATAGATAGATAGATAGACAGACAGACAGACAGACAGACAGACAGACAGACAGACAGACAGACAGACAGACAGACAGACAGACAGATAGATAGATAGATAGATAGATAGATAGATAGATAGATAGATAGATAGATAGATAGATAGATAGATAGATAGATAGATAGATAGATAGACAGACAGACAGACAGACAGACAGACAGACAGACAGATAGATAGATAGATAGATAGATAGATAGATAGATAGATAGATAGATAGATAGATAGATAGATAGATAGATAGATAGATAGATTTAAACAACAGAAAAAACTGGGCCTCCAATCACACGGTTATAAGTATAAGTTTATTACGTTGTGTAACCGCATGTTATCAATATTAGGCGGCCGTAACGTGCCTCACTACCAGTCGTTCACTATGGGGGACCTAGTAAGTAGAAACGACAGCTAACCACTGCCGCGTAAGACATCGCTTGATAACGCATAACCATGCGCGTGCTAGACCCGAAACATAGTCATCGAAGGATGCGGTTCGGTTAGAAAACATGAACATGAAGCGACAAAAAGCGTTGTCGTGGTAATAGGCCTTTTCTGACATCCCAACAAGAAAAAGAAATGTTTGATGTCATCATGACACTACCGTCAATGCAACAGCAACAGACTGAAATTCTTTCGGAAATTCGTTCCATTCGAGCCGACCAACAAGCACTCGAACAAAAGCTATCGCAACTGGCAGAAAAGGTCAAGCTCGTGGAAGATAACGTGTCCCCTTTACGGGATGACGTAACGCAACTACTCGCTCAAAATGAAGATCTTGCTGATACCTGCGCCAAATTACGGGACTCGTATGAGGACCTAGATGGCAGATCTAGAAGAAACAATTTGATAGTTTATGGCCTTCCAGATACTGTAAATGAAACGTGGGCTCAGTCAGAGGCTCGAGTGATTGCCTTTTGCTCCGAAAAACTGAACGTGGCAATCAGCACTGCTGCCATTGAAAGAGCTCACAGGCTAGGACGCTACACAGCGGTAAAGGCAAGGCCCATAATTCTGAGGTTTTTGTCATTTAAAGACAAAGAACGTGTGCTTGCTGTTGCCTCAAAGCTGAAAGGAACTGAGTTCGCGTTGAGTGAGGACTATTCCAGTAAAGTTCGACAGGCAAGAAAGAAACTGATTCAGTTCGCCAAAGACCGTAAAGCAGAATACAAGTTGCATTTTAATAAAATGAAAATAGGCAACCAAACCTTCGTATATAATGCTGAAACCGACACTGTGACCAGGGATACTCGATAGCCACTAACGAATGCAGCTTACCGTAAAAAGAAGCCATCCGGCAAACACGATCTCGTATGTATTGTAGTAAATTGCAGAAGCCTCAAAAATAAAACTATAGAGTTCAGTTCCTTGATAGAATCAACAAATCCGCACTTAGTCATTGGTACGGAATCATGGCTCGACAACACAATTAGCGACAGCGAAATGTTTCCGTCTGGCTATACCGTATATAGGAAAGACCGTAATTGCCATGGTGGTGGTGTATTCGTTCTCATTCAAGATAGCATAGCTAGCAATTCTATAAGCATCGAAGCCGACTCATGCGAAACTGTCTGGTGTAAAATTTTGCTACAAAACGGTTCTTCTGTTGCCATTGGCTCATTTTATAGGCCGCCCGGTATAAAAACTGCCCATCCTCTCTTTCAGTTGAGCAACGTTTTATTAAGTTTGCAAACAAAGCACGTAATTCTCGGAGGCGATTTCAACTTCCCGGATGTAGAATGGAAGTCCTTTAAACCCGTGTTAAACACAACGTCTTTCCTGTATACTACTTTTAGGGAGATGATTAATGCCCACTCATTATTTCAATTTGTCGAAACGCCAACAAGAATTGGTGGGGACAGTGCAAACATTCTTGATTTATTTTTGTGCAGTGAACCGGCTCTTGTATCCTCTGTTGTCACAGTCCCTGGTATCAGCGACCATGAAGTTGTTGTCACTAAAATGTCTTGTAGTGCTAAAAACCGCCGCGCTCAGGCACCCCGCAAAGTGTTCTCATATGAAAAAGGTGACTACCCATCACTGTCGCGTGAACTGGATGCATTTTTTCCTGAGTTCCAATCGCATAGTTCATCGTTAGACATGAATGCGCAGTGGAATTTCTTCAAAACAAAGATAATGTCCTTGACCCAAACTTTCATTCCTTCGTGTATCATTTCGGCCAGGCGACGCAATGATAAACCATGGCTCAGTAGGGAACTCCGATCAAAGATAAATAGAAAGAATCGATTGTATCGAAAGTATTGCCAAGTGCCTGATCCTGCGTTGCTTTCAAAAATGAAAGAGATAGGCAAAGTGGTGACAAAAGCTATGCGCAGAGCACAAGAAATGTACCTTTGTGATCTAGGCGAGAAACTTAAAACCAACCCCAAGGAAGTGTGGAAATACGTGAAAAATAAAAGTAATTCTAGACCCACTATTCCTGACATCATGGACGGGATAAATTACGAATCTAACACGGAAGCCAAAGCTCAGGGTTTCAATACATACTTTCAGTCTGTGTTCTCGCATCCAGTTAACACATGTAGTCTATGCCAGAATGATGGCTCGCTCCCGCAAATGAACGACATAGAAATTGCCGAACGCGGTGTCGTGCTCTTGTTGGAAAAAATAAATGTTCACTCTGCTCCTGGTCCTGACTG